GATGCTGCAGCTAGTAAAGTGAGCAAAATGCTGGCTTGCATCCATAGATGCTTCTCAAGCAAATCACGGGACGTCATTCTCCCCTTGTACTCGGCCTTGGTGAGGCCGCAGCTGGAGTACTGCATCCAGTTTTAGGCTCCACAATTCAAAAAGGATGTGGAGAAGCTTGAGAGAGTCCACAGAAGAGCCATGTGCATAATCAGAGGTCAGGAAAACAGACCTCTGTCTTATTCCTCCTGGCACCTTCCTCCTGTCAAGTGTGGAATTGTGCTCACGTACGAATTCTGCAATAGCCAGAGTTACCTGAGTTTCTGTAATAATGGTGGACACAAACACAAGTAGCCTTTTGAAAAGGGAAATACTTCAACAGGGCAGCAACTGGTACTTTCTAATTGTTGTGTGTGAATGAGCGGAAAAGGATTCAAATGCACTCCAACTTTAACTTTTTTTCATTTAGGAATTGCTGGAGATGGAAAATGGACAAGCATTTGTCAGAATGCTAAATATAAACAGCAATTATTTTTGACCATGAGTATTTTGAACCTACATCCTTTGAATGTTAAAAGGTATTTTCCTGCAATGAGTATTAAATACATAACAAGTTTCAGGTTCTGAACTTAAGTTAAATGACAAATAGGTGAAATATCTCATTAAAAATGATGTAACATTTCCTTTGGCCAACTTTGGTGTCTTGGATTTGTTTAAAATTTTAATAATAAATCTCTTGGGCTGAAAATAAGCATGGAAAAGATTGAGAACTGGAGTTATTACATAGTGAAAATAGGAGTTAAAAAGGAAGCCAAAAAATATTACGTTCAAGTTCATTGCAGTGGTTCATGATTTCAAGGTTTGAGGCAAAAGGAACTCATTTGCCCTTCCTTTCCTTTCTTTTTTTGTGTCCTTGTTGTATTTAGTGGAATTCAAAAATTTGTTGGAACTGACAGGGCTGCGACATGAATGTTTCAACCTTGCAACTTCTGGGCTGTCAACTGTGCACCTTAGTTTCCACACCTCCACAGTCCCCACCCATTTGCCAAAGCTCTGAAAAAGCACTACATGCACTTCTTTTACAATAAAGAAAAAGGCTAATCGTACACATTCTGCATCTCTGGAGAAAAAGTTTTAAATGGACGACAGTGAGGAGTTTGTGTTAAATCACATGGATTGAAGTAATAATTTTATTCTACTTCCACTTCTTTCAGGTTTTATGAAACTAGAAGTTCTCACAGTAATTTTAACATCAATTCCAACGTAAAAATCACAAATAATTTACATACCAACTCGCACCCATAGCCAAGTATTTAACATCACATTTCATTCAATCATTTGGAACGAGTTGCAAAAAGTGGCCCGAGGGAAAAATACTGCAGCTGAAGAGTGACTTTTCAGCCCTATTTCTGTGTCTACTTAATTTCTAGAAAACTATGAAGACTCCAATACTGAAAATTTTACCCAACTGTAAATCAATAAAATCAATTTAATAAAGATACAAGATTCAGAATGCCCTTTCATTATAGACCATTCAGTTGTTATATTAATCTAGGATTTAAATTAGCAAACAATATTAAGTCAAATATGCAGAATGGGTGACATTTTACTAGCATTGTAACATACCTTTAAGTGGATCATGCTCTGCTCTCATAATGTCAATAAGGGAGTTTTCCAAAGAGTGCATATTCAGACTGTCATACATTCTATTTCGATCCTAAAAGAGAATAAAATCCTTAGTACTGGTGTAAAAAAAATCTGCACTTTGTAACAGGAAGAGTAAGGTGCTTTCTTCAGGTAGTATGCTCAAGCTATGTTACCTAAAGTTGAAGGTGTTTGAATTTAAATTAATAAAAGCCTTTAGAGCATCCAAATACAATACCAGAGAGGCATGTTTAATTGAGGACTCCTTCTGCATACATATTCATACAGTATGCAGGACAGACAGTATGCAGGACAGGGAGAATTTGAGGTTGTTTAATGAAGGAGGCTATTACCTGTATTGCTATGGATCCATTAGAAGATATCAAAAGGTATGCTGTGAATAAAGCAAAGGATTGCAGGAAGGAAAGGGATGATCTTATGGTTCAGGTGACCCTGAAGAACTTTATCCCTGCCTCTCAGTTCCCTCTGTCATGCGAGGCAAGCTACCTAAACCCACATTTTCACAGAGGGTCTGGAGTTTTGCATTTTGTGGATGCTTTATCACAGAGACCCTAAGGCTGCAGTTCTGAACCTTTTTCAGTCAACGTACCCTTTGGTCTCAGAGTGAGACTTCATGTACCCCCTTTCAATGGGAAATTCATTTTTCAACCTGTGTTAGACAATGTATGAAATATCTCTCACATATCCACTGGTGAGGCTTCATGTCCCCCCCTGGGGGTACATGTACCCTAGTTCAGAACTGCTGCCCTAAGGTTTCATTCTCAGAACTGTTGTGTACTCATAGTTACAACTGAAGTCTCCAACACGGAATGTAATCCTCTTCTTTCATTCCAAGACATAGAAAAATATCTGTATATGATGCGTTTAAGGTCTCCTTAGTAACAGACACCAGCCAGCTTCATTTATAATAATTTTCACAACAAAATTCCAGTGACAGTCAGATTTTCTATGACAAAGCACTAATACCGATATTTACATGTTTTACAATTCTACAAATA